AGTCCAGTCTGTGATCGAGCGATATGAGGAGCAGCATAGCTCTCCACGAACAGATGGACAGAATCAGAGTAGTCATAGTCGTTACGAACCAATGACAGAGTTGAGTCCTCGAACTATGCGTGCATTACTTGGAGAACTCACATAGGATGTCGTTGAATAGGTAAATCTATGAAATATTCATAATATGGAAAGACTTACCCAAAATGGGAATGCACATTATGATAACATAGCCAAACAACTGAATACTTTGAATGAAATAATGAATAAGTTAGTAGGCCAAATTTGTTAGCCAGTCGTGCCTCTTGCAAATCACTTCCAAACTAGGACAATTGTGGGACATAATTCCCCCAGTCCTAAGTCCAAATCAAGGGGTAGAATCACCTTTTGGTCCCTCTACTTCAAACCAAGGAGATGGTGTAATGCCAAATCAGAATGGTGATAATGGTACATCTAACTTGGGGAGTAACTTGAACATAAGAGACAATATCCTAAATAATGGACAGAATGCCCCACGTATTAATGATGGAGTAAATATTCAGGCTAATGGTAACAATTGCCCAAATCATGGCAACTTTCTTGCCAACCAAGGGTCAAATATCAGGCCTCAAGCAAATCAACCGATCAACCAACCTGTAGGAATTTCATATGACCCCAACGTCATGTTGAGGAATCAAATTATGGATATAGTACAGGATCAGATGGCTTTTGGGGTACGTCCGGTGATTAGGCCGACTTACACAAAATCGTACCCTGATTGGGTAGACTAAGCATATCCATGGCCTAGAGGGTATAAAGTGCCAGAATTCTCACTATTTACTGGTTTAGGAGAGGTGTCTACTTTAGAACACATAGGGCGATTCACACTGCAAAGTGGTGACATAACTGATTACCATAAAATGAGGCTGTTCCCTAGTTCATTAATAGGAGTAGCTTTCTCCTGATTCATCAATTTGTCAGCGAACTCTGTTCAAACATGGCAACAATTGGAGCAATTGTTCCACGCTCAGTTTTATAAGACTGAGTTCGAAATTACTTTGGCCGATTTGGCGAATCTACGTCAAATACCAAATGAATGGGCAGAAGGTTTCCTTCGAACGTTCAAGACAGCAAAAGTAAATGTTTTGTACCTTTGTCCAAAAAGGAGTTTGTCAAAATCGCTCAAGGTTGTCTAAACTTTGATTTGAAAAAAAAATTCCAAGACAAGGAATTTCCCGATCTTTTCCAATTGAGCGCGAATGTGATTAGGTATGAACGATTAATAAGAGAAGAAGAGCAAATGGAAAATTCTAGCAAAGGGACTTATTATAGAGACCCAAATTTTGATGTTCATACCATTAATGAAGATTATTACGATCAAACCGAAATGTGTTTGGCCGAACTAATCAAAGGAGACACGTATACTTGTCCTATAACGGCTAAGCCTAGACCGTCGGGTAAGGACGAGCCTATAAAAGATGAAAACAAAAAGGCTAGAACGTTCTCGTTCGATGTAACCAAAGCTGACCTTATATTTGATAAACTATATAAGGATAAGCAGATAAAGCTGAGCGATAAACATAAATTGCCAAGCCCTGAACAAGTTAAGGGTAAAAAATATTGTAAATGGCATAATGCATGGTCACATTTGACTAATAACTGTTTGATTTTTCGCCATGTGTTACAGGATGTCATTGAATTAGGACAAATTACGTTCGAGGATAAGAGGAAGATGGCAGTGGATGAAAACCCTTTTCCACAGCCACTTGGGGTGAACATGGTGACGACTGGTTTCAAAAACAAGTTGCCAAAATTCAAGTTAGTTATAGATGACGGGGAAGAGGACCCTGGACCACATCCCAATGTCCTTGAACGTATCAAAGGGAAATAGCCTAAAAAGGTTGAAGGCGTCCTGTGTGCAAGATGTAAAAGAGAAGTGAGTGGGAATACAGAGTAACCAGGGATATGGCAGCATCACCGTCGCCCTAGCTTTTTCCCAAACGCTTAGCCTGGTAAAGGGCGAGGTACATCGTTCTATAGGGACCGCCTTTTGAGAGGCAGTTCAAGCCAGTGAATAATGGGAGTACATTCTGGTCGCAGCCTCGCCAACCAAATGTATGGGTTCATTCCAGTATAATGCAGGAAGGGCGATACCCTTCAACGAGATAACTAGAACCCAACAAAAGTGTTTTCAACGGAATTATGGACGAATAATGAGGCAACAACAGGGAATGTCACGTCCTAAGGCGCCTAAGTTACTCGAGGTGGCCAATCAAAATATTCTTGAAGACGGTGTGGAGACCGATATAGGTGAATCGATGAAAGAATTGCCAGAAAGTTCTTCTAGGAGGTCGAAGTTTGAGTGAGACAGAAGAGATGGAGAAGATCCAGATCAGTTCCTTACTATTCAGTTCGGTACGTTATCTCCTGTCATGGCTAATAACTATTTGCTAGCCAATGAGTTCAAGAATAAGGAGAAAGAAGAAGAAGAGAGGGAGGATAATGAAGAAGAAGCATGCGTGTTGGAATATAAAGAAGACCAAACTTCTAGAGGGGCCTACGATGATGAAGGAGATGATGGTATGATGGATATCGAAGAGGAAATTGATTTGGAAGTAGAAAGAAGAAAAAGAGGAGTATCGTACAATACTCTATTGAAGCAACTACATCGAGAGGGGGTTCGTGAAGTGGACTTGATGGGGGAGTCGTCTGGGCGTTCTTTCGATTATTACGTGCTGTACGGGATGCCCAAAAGGAAAAAGAGAGTTCCTCGCTCTGAAAAGTATGGATCACCTCCAAGAAAAATGCCTCCTTCCACAGGTTGGGTAACTGGAGAATAAACATTAGAAAATAGTAAAAAGGAAACGGAAGCTCAGTACGACATGCTGCACGTTGACTTATCACGAAAGGATAATTCGACAGAGGACAAGCAGGAAATGAAAATAGATGCTACCGAAAAGGTTATTTTTAAGCAGCCAGCCATGAAGTTAACTAAACACTTGAGGCCATTGTACGTTAAAGCTCTAGTTAACGACATACCTGTGGCAAAAGTGCTTGTCGACAATGGAGCAGCTATAAACACCATTCCATCTAGGATGATGAGGAAATTTGCAAAGACAGAAAGCAATATGATCTCAACAGAAGTCGTCCTTACGAGTTTCAATGGAGGAGCAACTTCAGCTAAAGGGGTTATTAGACATAACTATAGGGACAACTACTAGGACCACAGTCTTCTTTGTAATAGATGGTCCTACTAGTTACAGTGTGTTATTAGGAAGGGATTGGATACACGAAAGTCG